TTCATTTCTTCTTCTTCTTCTGTTTCTTCTTCTGTTTCTTCTTCTTCTTCTTCTTCTTCTTCTTCTTCTTCTTCTTCTTCTTCTTCTTCTTCTTCTTCTTCTTCTTCTCCTTCTTCTTCTTCTTTTTCTTCTTCTTCTTCTTGTGCGTCTTCTCTAGATAATTCTTCATGCTTCTTGCTTTCGTAGCTTGCGTTTTTTTTTTCTTCACCCTCCTCCTTTGGGTTCTGCGTTCATCCTTAAAATGTTGGTTGGCACACCCTAGTCTGAATTACAGCTAAGCTGCAATATCTGCGCCAGTGGGCCCACAACATCCGAGGTCAGGAATGTTGTAATTAGTCTTTCTTTACGACATGCTTGTAAACGGACAGTGGGTGTTGGTTAGTTGCGTATCCTTTACAGGACGTTGCAGAACCAACCTCATCAGCCCCTGGCTGTTGTGTGGTTTCACTAGGCAAATTTACGTCCAGTAGTTTGCCATTGCCACTGGACGGTCGGCTCCCTGATACCACTGTCGAAACCAACGCAAGGCGTATGGCCCGCAGCTGGGATCGAACCCGGTACTCCGGCATTACGAAGCGTTCGCAACGACTTAGCCACAGAGCCGACACAGTGAGTGTATATGACCTATAAATCCTCCGCCCAAATAGGACTACAAGAGCCCACACAGAGAAGCCGTTGCATCTAATTTTGTGTCTGCCCTGTGGCCAAAGTCGATGATTACCAACAGTGTGGACGGACTCGTCTGGGTCATGACCCTGGTAGGGAAACAAACTGTTGCTGTGGTTCTCAATAAGTTTAGACCCGTGGACCATTCTTAGTTATGCAACGGTAGTAGTCGGAAGTCGAGTTCCAACTTCACTGAAGACGTGTCATCCAATAACTACTACGTTCCGGTGTCAGTGGAAATCATACAAAATTTCCTTTCTTCTTCTTCTTCTTCTTCTTCTTTTTCTTCTTCTTCTGTCTTACTATTCCCCCCAATGGAGCATAGGCCCTCAACCACCTCACGCCAAGTCGTTCTATCCTTCGCCATTTTATGGAGCTTTCCCCATGTCCTCCCCATCTTTCTAACTTCATTCTCCAGCTCTCTTCTCCGTGTTTTTTTTTTTTTTTTGCCTCCCTTTATTCCTATGCCCCTGTGGGTTCCAATGCAAAAATATTCTGTTTATGCTGTTTTCCTGTTTTCTCAGTATGTGTCCAATCCAGCGCCAGCGTTTTTTCCTCACCTCTTGTTCCACTGGAGCCTTAGTTATCTCCCAAGGCTCTACATTAGTTATTCTGTCTCCAATACAAAACATAAATGATAAACACATCAGTCCCTCCCCGTTTGGGTTCCGGGCAGGGCCGGTTGGGCACTTGCATTGGAGAGAGGGGATGGAGGCAACGAGAATATGCGGATGCTAATCTGTGTATGTAAAAGGACTGTCATAAATAAAAATGTTTTTCATGTTTCAATTAATTATATGTATTACACAACCGAAAGTACCCAGCCTTAAGTGGTTATCGGGTGCAGTCCCGGGAAGTAAAGGCGGTCAGTGTGATGCTGACCACATCACCCACCTTGTGCCGATTGGTCTATAAAAATATAGATCTAGCCCTATATGCCCTTTACGTCTTAAGGCTTGGAAAAGGGACATTTACTTTTTACTATTTTACAACTGAAAGTGTGTCCCTTCACACCCCCCCCCCCCCCCCCCCCCTTTTTTTTCACAGCCATTAGTTTTGTTGAAGTGCTAATAAGATAAATGTGTGTATAATTGTATTGACCATTTACATTTATTCCTAGCACACTGATTTGCCCAGGGGCCCATAATACTGTCAAGATGGTCCTGGTTCTGGAGCTCCATTTTAGAGAACAAAGAATACACCAGCTGGCCCTCTAACAAGCATGTTGTAGGTCGGAGGTGATTAATTAGGTGTGCTTCCTTTCCGATTCAAAGCGCATCTGTCTGAAAGAATAGCAGCCAATAGTCAGCATATAAAAAAGCCAAATCTGTAAAACGGTTGTGCCTGCAAAAATCCAGTCCTGGATCAAAACCAAAGTCAGTGCGTGGGCGAATAACCAGCCAGAGCTTCCTGCCGGAGTTAACAGCCTGTGAACGCTAAGAAGAAGATGTCAGCCCAATGAGATCCTTGAAGCTTGCACTTGCAAACTAATGCATTCAAAACAAAGTGGGCCATGACCAGATACTTTACAAAAACCGGTACTTGTAACGAAGTCCGACCCAGAAAAAGAGTGACTTCCCTTGCAATTCTTGACTCGTCGTATCGTTGGTCCTGTTCTATGTTTCTGGGGCGTCCAGCAATACGTCGTATTTTCCTCGTTGTTGTCAGCGGCCGGTGATATCGCCTGTTTTAAATTCCACGATGTGAGTGCTTTTGACGGTCCCAAAACATGAAGAACTGACCCTTATTCCAATACCACTGCTTCAGCCTACATCCCACGAAGACTTGCAGTCCAGAGGTCTTATACTGTGAATTACATAGTGTTATTTAAGGCTCAGGCATACGCTGTTTTTTCCAAGTTGTTGTTTATAGTGCTTGGAGTTTCTCTTGTCCTCTTTTCAATCAAATATTTTTGTTAGTTTTCTGCGTGTGTGTGTGTGTGTGTGTAAAGGGGTGGGAGTAGGAGGAGGGGTCCCTTGCTATATTTTCAAAGGGGAGCTACATACACAAGTTGAAAACCACTGGTCTGAGGTTCACATCCGTATCCCAGGGGATTTCGTTTTTAAAACTGACCTTCGTTTTCATGCAGAACCAGCATAGAATAGGTAAAAGGTAATTTCATGGGAAGCAAAGTGTTGATATAATAGTTCTAGCGTTGTATGACTGAATTTTCGTAAATTTTTATTAGTTGTTTTTTTTTTTTTTAATATTTATGCCACCATATGGGACCTTGTTAGAGCAGGCGATAGGAGGGAGATTCGCTTTCAAATCGAGCTGCGACTCGCTGCAACCTACAGCCGGTGTTCCAAACCAGGCGGTTTCCGGGATTTAACCAGTCTATAGGTAATTGGTACCAGAGTTAACACTCTGGAGTAAATGGGCGATCGTCGCTGTAGCTACGGAGTTGCGTGCGGACGGCGACACAAGCGGATAGTTTCTTATCAGCTGACCGTACTGGGGGCAGAGCACTTAACGGCTTATAACCGTGTGGAATGACGTTGGTTCACATCTACCGACTTGACCTTTACCTTTCTATGCCACCATATAAACTAAACTTATTTTAAGGGCTATAAATGCTGGTTCCCCGCCCCCTTTTTCCACCGATCTGGGTCTTTATATGACACTTTGGGGAAATTTAGTTGTTTTAATATATATATTATTATATAAAAGTGGTAACTGTTTTGTTTCGTAACTATACATTTTGTAGATGTTAACAGTCTGTTTATTTTGTTTTCTGTTGTTTGCCTATGTATTGCTTGGGAGTTTGTTCAGCTTAGCTGGGTTTTTCAACAACAAAAATTTTTTTGGCAGCCCTGGTTAATTGCATATCCTGTTCAAGTAGTGCACAGCCTGCATGATGTTGCGGAACAAACGGCTGTATCTTTGTGTTGTTGCTATTTTGTTATTTCACAAGGCAATTTTACATTCCGTAGTTCGCCACTGATTATTATTCTGTTGAAACAACTGCCAGAAATCAAGCTGCTGGAATCGAACCCGGCACCTCGGAGTTGCGAAAGGCTTAAGCCACAGGCGCCGCCATGAGACCATAAACCTGGCGTGAAAAGGGTCCTTAGTCGCACAGGGTGAAGATAAGGGGTAGGGAAGGGGAGGCGGAAATACCTCAAGTTTGAAATTATCTTTTAATCCTTTGACGCCTATCCTTTTCTAGGACAACCCTGAAGAGGGAAGAGAAAAACAAAAAAGTAGCGGGCGGGCGGGCGGCCAAGTTCATGTGTATTCATTTTTCCAAGTCCTTGTTGGCATGCGGGAGAAAATTAACAAACACTCCAACAAATACAGGTATATAATTTAAAATATCCCAGTCCTAGTTACAAACCTTTTGGCCTAAATTTTAGGATTCGTTTCTTGACATAAATTCTGACAAAAGTTTTTATTTTGGTTGAAAAATATAGGAACATAATATGTTTTTCTTTTGAACTATGTTATAAAACTAATATATATATCGTCTAAAAAATGCATTTCATAACTAAACATTAAGCTCAAAGGCTTTATTTTATATATATATATTTTTTAACATGTGTGTATGGCGTATAAACTCAGACAAAACCCCGCTTATAAAACACATTTTTACAAAAGTTTTCATTAGATTTCAAAATATCAACATGGCGATCCGGGAATTTATCAATAAAATACTCGGTCCTGTTTTCATTCTCTCCTAGCGTGTGATTGGCCAGATCCTGGAGAATAGGTTCACGTGACTGGGTTACGATAAAGGAATCACGCGCAGCGCGAGCAATCTTGGACCTGAGCCAGGTCATAACATATTCATGCAGACTCTACCATGTTAGGGTTAGGTGTTGTGTTATAAAGATTTATGAAAAACGTGTTGGTAAACTTTTCAATTCAAAAGTAATTTAAGCTATCTAACATTACAATAATTATTATAACAGTTGATAGATAATGTATGTAGAATTTAATAGAAGAGAAATAAGCAATAGTTGTGACAATTTATAAAACAGGACGGCATGTTTCATCACTTTCAACCTGACATCCCCAAACGTCTGGATGAGGTGGGAGTTGCCCGTTTAAGCGTCATTGAATGTGTGCCAAACGTTCTCTGATTGGCCCAATTTTTAAGTCTATACAAGTAGCTACTAGAGGACGTGTTGTCAGTTGTGTCACAGAGCGATTCCTTACGAGGTCTACCCTGAAAGTGTCTTCGCCAAACAAACCAGCGTGTTTACCTTAATCGAACCTTGTGTTTACAAATAAACTTTCATTGCAGTTGGATTTACCAGCTAAGAGTTACTTATACATCACTGCTGTTATATTACTGTTATTTCCAGCTTAGCAAGCAGTTATATTCCATGGCAATGTACCCAAACGCTACGCATGGTTATATGCCATTTGTCAAGCCAGCTCACAAACGACAGGCTGCCAAGAAGTCGAAAGTGGATAAAGCTGAAACTTTGAAGAATAAGTCCAACGATATGAGGACTTACAAAGTCACTTTAAGAGACAGGAATGGATTTACGTTTACGTATATCATCCAAACAAATACTGCTTCGAAAAGTAATCCGGTACTTTGCGAGACAAGAGTTGCAGGACCAAAGACTCTTTCCTCGTCACTGCCCAACATGAAGAGTCCAGGTATGGCCAGCCCAGAATCAAAGCGTCACTCGAGTTGTTTGGGCCTCGCTCAGGCCCAGGATGACCTTACTAAAGTTGGGGATGGCCAGAAGAAAGGTATCTTCAATTGGATCATCAACTTTCATCAAAAAGAAAACTACCAGTAACAAGACCACAACAGCCAAACAGACTGCAGCTGCCTCCAAGTCCAAGAGGAAACCAAAGCCAGTTTTCCCAAAGAAGCGCCAAAGGACCATCTCCGCGATGTCCAACCTCGACCCTATTCAAGAGAGCCCGGAAGAGGACGAGGACGACGATTTCGACACAGACTCCTATTCCCACGACTCGGTCAGCAGTGACGGCAGCGTTAGCGAATCCTGATGGGAAGCACGGGAGTCTGGATGAGTGTTTAGGCATTCCTTCGAGTGTTTCTACATCCTCTTCCTCATTCCTGCTTGGCGCCTCTCTCAGGTGAGACTAGTTGCAGCTCCGTGAACCGCAGCAGCCACCACAGCACCAAACATTCCTGCTGCTGCAGCAACGGCAGTCAGTGAGTGTGGCCGAACCCACAGGCGGTCTGCCTGTGTCCGCATGGTACACTCCCGCCACTGGAAGAGATGATGGGTCGAGTAACCATTCTCAGGTCAGAGGATCATCTCGTGTCTGTTAAGACCCTGGGAACATCAAGTACGTTACAGAAGTTAAAGTGCCCACAGTCTGCCAAAGACTTCATCAGCGCACTTTTCACAACACATGGTTGATGCATAGTCGTTCAGTTTGCCAGGACAGTTGTTCAGCTCATAAGGACAGTCAGTTTAGCAGGACAGTCGTTCAACGTATAAGGACAGTCATTCGTTTGTCTTCCGTTCAGAGCTTGATGTTTCAGCATTTCAGGGCAATCGTCCAGTGTTTCAGGACAGTTCTGTTCGGTAATACCTTTGCTGAGCATATCATAATATGACATTCATTCAGTTTATCAGGGTAGCCCTGCAGTTAAACACTCAATTTATCAGGACAATCGTTCACTTTTCAGGACATTTGATCAGCTCAGCTTAGCGTTTCGGGACAGTCCAGAGTCAGGACAATCAAAGACTTTATTCAACGAACAACCAAAAGCACTGAAATGTAACCTTGGCGTCTGTTTCGGCACTTATGTGATGTTAGACCTGTTGCGTCATTTGATATACATCTCAGGATCTGCTTTGAACTTTGCCCTTTAAACCCCTTAACCTCGCCAAGAAAAGTATCAAAACTTGTTATTTAACTATTTGTTTTCCTTGAGATGAAAGAACACTAAAGTATTAAATCAACTGCTCAGTTACATGTATGCTGGGAAACCAGTCGCAACACTAGGATTGCCTGTCCACGCAAATAACGGATCTAAAGCGTCTTCAGACTTATTTTGTTGATTCGATTCCTTTCTGATTGGATTTTTGTGAACTTTATAGACTATCAGCATTCAGCTTTTTTCATTGGCATTAAAATGTCATCTAAGGAGTCAGCTATGGAATACCAACTTGGTTATTTATTAGTATTATATGTAATTTATCTGTTATGAATAGCTTTAATTTACATGAGACAGTCAATAAGCATTAACCGTAAGATAAACTTCTAGTACGTTTTCTTGTTTATTTTTAAACATTTTGACTTCTTCATTTCTGTCATTTTTCTGGTTATTTCCAAAATATGAAAACTATTTGTAGCTGTAGCTCATTTTATTGAAAGTAAACAAAGGTGAGGGGTAATATGCTCTTATTTGCTTTCTGTTCTCATTATATGAAACTTATTTCAGGTTGCGACTAAGAGTAACAAGAAAAATAATTCATATTTCTGGTTTAAGTTGTCATTAAGATATTACCAAAAATAACATGATTTCAGTAACATTAAAGTTCCCCCCCCCCCCCCCTCCCTTTTTTCCCCCTTTCTTGTCCAAACATTTAACTGTTTTTGTCTGTTATCTCGGTATTGCCAAAAACTGTTATTATTTCAATAACATTTTAGTTGTAACGTCATTTTTCTCCTCCTCTGTCTTATGAGTCATCAATATTTCCAAAAGTAACATTATTGAGTTCAGTAATTCTGTCTCTGTAATTTTTTCCACTACAGAATTGTCAAAAATACAGGATTGTCAAAAATTACATTTCCGTAACACAGTAATTCATTTTCCCTATATTGAACTGTTTATTAGTTTGTCCTGTTCTCATTGTTGCCAAAACATTCCATATTTAATGCCCTGTGGAAATGGATAACTGTGACTTCAACAGTCTGAAAGTGACTGTTATTTATTACTTCTCATGGTGGTGAGCTTGGCTTGGCTGTTGGGGTGTGAATGCTAGATTATTTCTCCGGTTATGTATGTTTGTTAATTTTAAGGATGATAATCTTAGCTTAGGTCTCATGGTATGGGGTATACATTAACTGTCAGGGTGGGTCTTCTTTCTTTTTCTTCAAGTTCACAGTTGTAACCTCCGGCCAAAAGTTTTGGTTGTTTGTCCCCTTAAGGACTTTATTTAGTCTTGTCCCAGAACTTGAGGTGAGATATTTATTTGTTCTTATGTGAAATTTTAAGTTTTTTTTTAAAAATTGAGATAACATAATCATAAAGAAAATGTAACTTTACAATAAGCTGGTACAAAACAGTTAACATTCAACAGACTGGTACGAAAGAATTAACTTGGGCTGGTTAAATAAAGTTAACACGTAATGGCTTGTGCAGAATCATGTCACTTTAGCAGAACAAAAAGTTCAGTGAAATGGAAGACATACAAATAGTTAGATGTGGTGTGTAATAAACACATCAGAATGTTTCTAAAGCATTTTATCTACACGTTGTCCCATAAGTTTACATACATAGGAAAAATAAACATATATCCATACATAAGAAAAAAAACATAATCAACGGCCATTGCAAGCATAAACCCAGCCATACTCTTACATATGTTCTTCAGCAATGGAAGAAACACATCTAAAATGTTTTCAAAACAATGGTAGACATGTAGAGCATATTATATATTTTTTGGACTGGTTTTCTATCCAAATTGTTAATTTTTCTGATGTATGGATATAAATGAGACACCCTTATGTCATAATATGCTTGTTATTTGCAATTTTCTTTATGAATACATTAATACGGGTATTGGATAAGGACAGTCATCACCTTATGTAGTCAGTAATTGAAGTTATGGTTTTACATGTTTTAGGTTATGATACTTAAGGGGCATTTGCATCTCTGCTTCCCATATGTGGGGGAGGGGGGATAAACCCACTGCCACCCTAAAAAATGTGCTGTACAAGGCGACGGATTAAGGTATTTTCTTGCAAGTCAGGGGGCATCAACCTGAGAGGCGAGTAACTAACAATCTGCATACAGGTTATCCAGAATTAATTAAATGTTTGTACATGCAAAACTTCAGTTCTGGAACAAGACCGGAGTCCAGAAGTGGACGATATCCAGAACTTTGATTGGAACCTATACTTGTTTAGGTGCAAAGGGCACAAGAGAGAGAGCAAGGGTATCTAGAGGCACATGTTGATACTTTGATAGTATTCAGTCAGAGAATCCACTAGTATGGCCAGGTATATTTATAAATATTTATGTATGTTTATATATATTTATGGGAGATTCGCCTGGTATTTATCAGCATTGGGTAATTGTACATATTGGTTTGATATGTAAGGTATGTTTGTATTTATTGTCTGTGTGTTTTTGTATGTTTGCTAATTTATCTGCCTTTCTGCAGTTAGGAATGTGCCCATTATCTGTAAGGATATATAAAGAAGTGTTAGATGAAAACCTCCGAAGTCTGATCGAATCATCTTCATTTGTACACTCTTGATATCCTTAGCAATATTCATAGATTACGAGACAGTTTCATGGTTACTGTAATTCTGTCGCACTTTTGAGGTTTCGATTTAAACCCTTTCCTAGAATCTAAAAATGTTGCCACAAAATGGATCCTAGAAAGAATATTATCATTAAATTCACAAGCATTTATTGAAGTAAATGAAATAAATAGATAAAATAAATTTATTAATTCATCTGCTTTTATGAGTGACGTTCAGTACTTATGAATTTTTTAATCATGGATTCTCTGATTAATGGAACAAGCATTAATGAAAATAGAATAAAGACTTGGTGCGATGGCGAAAAAACGGGGGACAGTAAAGACACCGGGTTTGAAAATGCATAAGGAATAATGGGAGTGAGTCTCCGTGGGGTCTTTGTTTAAAGAACATGGTAAATCATGATTATATATGTGTTTATATAATACAGGAGTTAAGCTTAAGGCAGGAAACCCTTTTCAGTCTAGTTAAGGATAATAAACACAGGGCAATAAGAACAACATTAGATAGATAACTTGTGAAAGTCGAGTCATTTATAAGTCTGGGGATCTGGTGTGTGACGATGTATTTTATAACACGCGCACACGTGGTTGTGCGTGAAGGCGGGAAAGTCATGTCTACGCTAACGTTGTATGACCTAGTTGAAGTCTGGCGGCCTCAGAAGACTTGGTAAATTTCCATCACGCAGTCAGCGTGCAATGTCAAGGCTGTTGTTGTGCCGCGGTCGATAAGTTCACAATGCAACCACTTGATTGGTGGAAACCGCCAAGTGCGCGCCAGGATACCCCCGTGATATTGACCCCGTCCCGCAGGACAAGGCTACATCTTGTTTCATCATCATCATCATCCTTTCTCGTGCGTCGTTGGTGTTCTTCCCTCCCTCCTGGCTAGTTTTAAAATAAAGATTTGTCAGTATGTTTAGCGATGAGGGAAGGGCAGAGAGGGAGAAAAATGGTTGTGGAATTTTGGCCTACATTTCCAACTGCAAAAAAGTCAGGAATGTGGGGTCAGACGTGGAATGTAGGGGGAGTGGAATTGAGTGTGAAAGAGGAAGTTTGGAATTGGTGGGGTAAGGATTGGAAGAGTGCTTTGTTGCATTTATTTATTTGTTGAAGTGAATAATGTATGAGACAAAATGTGAATGTATTTATTGTGTTTACAGTTTTTCATTTGTTTAGCAACACTGCAATGCAATCTTTTTTATAAATATGTTGATTGAGAAAAAGGCTGAATTAAATTATATATTGAAATGGATTTTTATTGTTTTAAGAATTTGTTGAACTGTCGATTTCCGTTGTTTTTTCTTTTCAGTGTTTCTTGTTGTTACTTGTGTGTTTTGTTTTCCTGTGTGGAATTTTGTTGATGTTACTGTTAACCTTAACTGTCAGTGGTTAACAATTGTATTATCGTTCCGTTTGTCAGTTCTTTGTGTGTCTTAACTTTGCTAGTTTTTTGTGGAAATGTTTCGTGTGTCTGTTCTGTTGTATTCTAGTACAGTTGCCCACTGTGTTAGTGTTGCGATTGTTTTGTTTTGTGAT